TATCTATTAACAATTTTTTTAACGATTTTTTGATCATTGATATATTCTTTTCTTTCCGCGACAAATAAATACGATTCTTTTGTGCTTTTTGCGGATGGAAAAAAATCGAGAGTAGGCTCGTGCTATATCGGAATAGGTGCGAAAGAGGGCGGGGTAGGTGAATTGGCAACGCTTTGTAAACTCTTGCTCTGACGAAGCCCAGAACACCTTCTGCGGTCGATGATGCACGGAAAGCAAAAGAGAAAGAGAGATATAAACACTTCCATGATACCGTAAGAACTTAGCTATTCTCGGTAGCCAGGAAAGGAGAAATCATTTCCTCACATGTGAAAACGAATTTTCGCGATATATATTTTTATATAAGCTGATTTTCAAACTCATTGCATTATAATCAAAATCATAGTTTGCGCAAATATTTTATTAATCGGTCTATCACTTAAAATTAAACAATTATGAAGTGTCTTTCAACAATTTGGTACACAAATCTATAATCTTTGCGGTAAATTTAAAGATAATTTTTATTTATTTATTTATTTTTTATTTAAATAATAAAATATCAATATTTTTATAAAAGCTAAAACTAGCGCCTTTGTGAGTAAAATTTTTAGTCATTGAGCAGCGAAATTGTATTGTTTGCTTCAATTCAAGCAGGTTTTATCTGACATTTCAATTTGAAGTACAATTATATGAAAGGAGCGATTTTGTTCAAAGTACATAAAAATTTAAGTAAATACATAAAAAAATAATTTAATATAATTTGATATCCTTAATAATCCTTAAGCATAATAAGCAATGTTGTAAGAAGTTTTGATATTTTAGCAAAGCTAAAATTGAGCTTGAGCATTTTATATAATTATTTTTATATCTTCTTAAATATCTCTATAAATTGTCTCCAACAAATTATTTTTATACTTAACTAAATTTTTAAATACTTTGGCAAAACCATTCTTTCTATTTACCTAAATAATGACTTCATACGCTATTGTGAAGTCGAGCGTAATAATTTAACAGAAGTATTCGCAAATAATTTCTACTATGAAATTGAGCGTACAAAGAATTGTTTTCGAGATAGAATGCTTGACAAGGAATGCCGACGTCGGAGAGCTAAGGGTTAACACTCTGACACGTCGAACATGCAAGAAAGAGAAAAAGAGAGAGAGATACCTGAATATTTATTACGATATTTTCTTACAATAGAGATGTTCTGTCTTCAGATCTGAATATTAATTTCGATTTTATCAAATCAGAATTTAATTGAATTAAAGTCTTACATATTATAATATTAAATAATAAATATTAAATAAATCTAATTAATTCTCCTTGCTTAACACACCATTTTCGAAATGCAATTCATAATTTATTGGAAAAATTCTTAAATTATATTGACACTTTATATCCCCTTTTTATATCACTAAAGATAATATTAATTCTGATAAACTGTGTAATATAGTTCAATACAACTGTGATAAATCAGGCAGTATAAGGTAAATGTCTCAATAACTGAATGTATCCAGTGATTAAAGAAATCAACAATATATTTGTAATTATTTAAGATATTTGTTAATAACAGCAAGAGAATGACAAATTAAAAAGAAGAATATTAAATAAAGAATTTCTTAAGACTTAAAAAGAAAAAGTGGAATATTTCTACTTATGAAAATAAGTAATAAGAACATATAAGATTGCAAATTATTGCGAAAAAAAAATTTATTTTAAGTTTTGTAGTCATATTTTCATCTTCCTACTCATTTTGAACAAGACATGAGTCTATATCTTTAATTTTATAAAATACTATATTTATTTAAATGTAATGTGTATTTTATAATTGCAAGAAACTGAAAATTATATTTAAAAAATTTGTTTTATTACAGCTTCAGTTATTAATATAGTTGACATGGTGTAATGTATCAATGAAATTTCTCTTAAATGTTTTTTTTTTTTAGATTTGTATGAAAGTATTTTTCAGTTACTGACGAAATAAAGTTTTATGTAGATACTAATTCTTTTTGTGTAATGCCATTAATTATTAATCAACGAGAATTAATTACACTTCTTTATTAGTTCAGTCATTGAGACATTTATCTTACGTTGCTGAATCGTTTAATTTGTCACTAGAGCACCGTGATTTAATAGTTGAATGTAGAAAGAATTGTAGGATCGAATAACAAAATACAAGAGTTCATCAGCGTTAAAAGAGCCAGCTGAAATGTTTACGGCGAAGCAACAGCTCAATTATTAACATTCTCGAAGTCTCGCGGACGTGCGCGCTTGCATATGATATAATGCCACTCATTTTGATAAACAAACGGCTCGTCAATCGCCTTGGTAATATTGATCCCGAAGTTTGTGATCACTCGCGTACAATACACAAAACCGACAATGTTGTCTTCGAATCGTTGTTTAGGTATGATGGACATTGATGGACCGATGCTATCAAAGACAATCGTAAATATTTAGTCTCAGAAGAATTAAAGTTCTTGATATCAAAAATTATTTACGCTAATTTAACATTTAATTAACTGAACGGGTAACCGTAAAGTGGTATGTAATTCCAAAATTTTTATGGTAATAAATTCGGTGATAATTAAATTAAATAATTAAATATTTAAGTTAATTAAATCTGGAAATATATCGTATGCGAAGTTTTATAAATGAAGAATATGGAATTGTTAACAAAAAATATGTGTTTTAGAGCGATAGTATTAGTTTTTTAGAACAGTTTTTTTCTTGAAAATTAAATAAATTATAAAAACATTTTTTTATGCGATATGGCGCGATCATTACAAACAGTAATAAATTTAAAGATTGACAAGTGAGCGAAATTAATTAAGCTCTCTGTGTGTGTGTGTGTGTGTGTGTGTGTGTGTGTG